TCACATGGCATGGCTCTCACATGGCATGGCTCTCACATGGCATGGCTCTCACATGGCATGGCTCTCACATGGCATGGCTCTCACATGGCATGGCTCTCACATGGCATGGCCCTCACATGGCTTGGCCCTCACGTGGCTTGGCTCTCACATGGCATGGCTCTTACATGGCATGGCTCTCACATGGCATGGCTCTCACATGGCATGGCATCGGCATTGGGATCAGGTTGCCCCGGCCGCTCATACGCGCGGTTGAAGCCACAGAAGAACGGCACCAAAGAACCAACAACAAAAGCCATGCAAGCCACCGCAGTTCAGGAGCTTCGACGCCACCATTTAATCAAGCTGCGAAATATGAATTATGATCTGCGTTAGGTCATTATTTCAATGCGTCTTGTGAGCAACTAGCATTAGCATTAAAAATCGTAATCGGGATGAAAAAAAATTACTGTGAAAATTTACACGGATAGAAAATAATAGTAGTTCGGTGATATGAAATATTTGATTTTCATTTATAATGATTATTCTATACAATGTGAAGAAGAACAATTGAAATTTTCAACTTAAAGGCAGGATAGAGTTTTTGAGGCGTAACTAAAAAAGTACCGATGCACTGACGGTATATATGACTTCGCCACAGAAGGCATCGCTGAGGAAAGAAAAAGTTCCTAGAGACCTCAATTAAGGTGTCGCTGATAGCTCCGGTCTTTAGGCATGCTAGAGACAAGCCCCAAATTGCTGGCTGGTGACACTGACATCGCGTGTAATCGAAGTGTCGCAGAAGATCGTAGCTAAGACGTTGTGCATCACATTATACAGTAGAAGCTGACCTTCTCAATGGAAGCGTTTGCTTTTCAATTCGTCCCTGCTTGACCCAGTTAATGAAGTATCACCAATACATGTTGGCCAAACTGGAGGAGAGAGGCACCCTTGGGCGTGGTTATTTGAACTTTGTGAAAGTCTTTAGTAAACTTGACCATGGAGTGCTCTTCATAAAACTTGGGTTCAGATGAGAGTTGTTGGTGGGGATCCATAACGTCACAACTGACTCACTGATGTTGGTGTGGATCCACAACGTCACCACTGACCACAAGCAATCGTACTTCACCTGATCCCCTTCCTCATTCACATCGCTGACATCGATGCTGAAGTAAGCCAGTCTCCGACATCGTTGTTAGCGGACGACGCTAGAGCGCTGATGACAATTACGGCAGGACGAATTGCAAGAAGACTAGTTTGAATCCGCATATGTTCAACGACGACACCCAAATTTATGGCTACGGTGCACCGGCTGACGCCGCAGCGTTGCAGTATTGAATGTCTGCCTACATGGACGTTTTCTCAGACTAGATGCGCTCCAACCGGCTCCAGCTCAATGCATCAAAAACCAACTTTATTTGGTTTGCGACTGCTCGGCGCCAGCATCAGCTTCCTGCCAACCCTGTTCGCGTGGGCAACGAGTTCGTCATGCCTGCGTCTGCAGTTCGCAACCTGGACATTCTGCTGTACTCGGAACTTTCAATGAACAGTCACATTGCCAAAGTCACCACCGCTTGCTTTGGCGCTCTGCGACGAATACGTAGCATCAGCCGCTGTCTTTCGAGGCCGGTCCTTGAGGCCCTTAAATTAATTGAGGTGGCGGCCGTTCTGACCAGATTGGACTATGGTAATGCCACTCTTTATAGACTTCCGACCACGGCGCTTAATAAACTGCAATCCGCAATGAACGCTGCTGCTCGACTCGTGTGCAATAAGCGAAAATTCGACCATGTGACGCCGATATTGCGAGATCTTCAGTGGCTGCGCATGCAGCGGCGCACGCAGTTCAATGTTGCTGTCCTTACGTTCCGATGCCTTCACGGTCTGGCGCTTCCTTATCTCATGGAATGCCTGCAGTGCGTGTCGGATCTGCCTTCTAGAAGACGATTGCGCTCGTCAACAGCGGACTTCGTCGTACCATCCACACGTCTTTCTACCGTCGGTGACAGCGCTTTCCCGGTCGCCGCCGCCAGAACCTGGAACAATCTGCCTGTTTCTGTAACTTTGGCTCCTTCGTTACCGGTGTTTCGTCGACGCCTAAAGACGGAACTATTTCGTAGAGCATATGAATCTAGTGCTTAGTCATTTTATCCGTGCCCATCCTTTCGTGTGGATATTTATTTTTCGCTTGTTATCAGTCTAATGTGTGACATGCCCTCGAAGTTCGTTTGAATCAGACGCCACGATTAATGCTTCGTAGAATAATAATTAAAATAAGACTCCTCTGCGGTGTATGACTGACTGCATGGGCCCAAATGAACAACACTCAAACAAACGAGATCAAGTTTGACGGGATAAATAATAACAGGGCAGGCCCCTAACTTAAAAAAAACCTCCAGGATTGTAACAACATAGTGGAATTAGATTTGAGTGTATATACGGCAATTTTGATAGTTGCTAATTAAAACAGCCACTAACAACCGGGCTAGTTGCCTCGTGTAGAAAGGTACTGGCAAGAAGCCCAGGGGCAAGAAGCCCGAAGCGGCTACAAAAAGCAAAGGCGTAGGATTATTCACGGCCGAATTACTCTTGCTCAAATGGCTGCAGATGCGCGCAATATTGTCACGTCCTACATTATCCCCGGACCTCCCGTGGCGAGATGGTACTTGGTGAAGGCAGGATTATGAAGGCAGTGATCAGCGGGGCCGGTGACGTGGACGTCCGAACCTCCACAAATGCAGTGCAGCAGCATCAGTATACTCGTGGTGGCAGCAACACAACAGTCGTGGTGCAGCAACTGCAATGCACCAGTAATGTTATCGCATCTGCATTGCAGCAGCAGCAGCAACAGGAGCAGCATCAGCAGCAGCAGTGCAGCAGCAGCAGCAGCAGTGCAGCAGCAGCAGCAGCAGTGCAGCAGCAGCAGCAGTGCAGCAGCAGCAGCAGCAGTGCAGCAGCAGCAGTGCAGCAGTTAATTGCTTGATCGTAGCTTTGATGCTGCGCTCTGTCCCCCCCCCCCCACTACCGTTTTCCTCCCACTCCTACCCCGCTTCTCTCATCCTCCCCTACCCCACTTCTTTATTGTTCTCCCTCATAAATTTTTTTGAAAAATGTTTGCCCAATATATGAACAGGACGCTTGAATTTGGATTTGGCGCTGAAGCTGGGGCGTAAATGTTGTGGAACTTTTCGAATGCATATCATGACAAAACATCAGTTTGCATTTTTCCAATTATACAAGTCAAT